TGCGCAGACGGGGTCGGTGCCCGTAAAGACACGGGGTGTGCCAGGCTGCACGCGCCCCCGGGGGCTTGCACACACACGGACGCGTGTGCGCACACTCGCCCGCGTGGGGTGGCGCCGCGCAGGCACCCTTCGGCACACGCGTCCGTAGGCGGGGCGCGGGGGCAGTGGCGCACGCTGCTTGCGGGTAACAGTGGCTGCCTCCCCATGCACGCTCCTGGCAAGCCCGGTCCACGGCGGGAGCGGCTCTCCCTCCCCCACCATCCCGCAGCCCCGTGGAACATGGCTGGGTGGAGCAGCTCTCCGGCAGCCGCCGGCCTTCGGTCGGCTGCACAGGGGTCATCCTTTGCCCCCACCCCACAGGCCTTTGCAGTCGTTGCCTTGGCGGGATGACCCCGCGTCCAAATGCTGGGCTAGCTCCATCAGGTGCTGACAGAGTGAGTCATGCTCGTCTGTCACTCGTGGCATGGGCCCCCTTCTGTTCTGTTCACCCTGGATGTTCAGAGGCATTCCAAGATGGCCGGTTTTGTTGAGTCAGGCTCAGCCTGCTGGTGTAACGCTGATGGCTGGAGCACCTCTAAAAGCGCCGTTTGCTGGGAGCACCGTGCGGGCACCGGCCGTCCCTGTGGGCAGGGGCAGCTTCTGTAACCCCAGAAGGGGTTTGCATGACCCAGAGCCTGCAGCGCTCATACACAGATAAGGGATATGGTTTCAAGCCCATGTAATACTGGAGGATACTCCAATACTTCAACCACCATCTTGTGGTTTGTTTTGAGTCAGCTACTGCTGCTACAGGTGTCCTGCCATCTCTGAGCTGCTGCGAGGTTGTGGGATGGAGAAAACACTGAGCAAGCCCAGAGCAAGCCTGGCTTTCTAGCTGGGGGATGAAACCCCCACCCCACTCATTGGTACCTTGGATGATGTGATGCTCAGGGGCAGGCTTATAAGCAGCTGTAGGAACACAGCTGTAGCCCCGGTGTCCCCTGCTCATGTGGCAGCTTCTGACCTGCCCTAAGTTATGGTCCTACACATGCTGGGTTTAATTTCTTTTAAAATGTTCTTTTGCAAAGCCCAGGGATCATTCAGTGGGAAGCCACAGGCTGCTGGGGCTGATCCCTCACCGAGAATCCACTCAGCTCAGTGCTTTCCAAAATGTTACTTCCCCTAAAGACCAGCTTTAATCCAACACCTAAATGTGTTTGTAGAAAGATTTGCTGTAAGAGCAAGGAAAACTGACTGCCGTGAAAAGCTAGGAAATGCATTTAATTGCTGATAATGAGGCTATGCAGTCAGGGTCCTACCATTGTATTTACTCCTTCAGGAACAAAGATGTGCTTTCCTTGGAGGGACCCGAGCTTTGCTTTTTATGCATTCCTCTGTAAGAAATCTCTGTCCTTTTTCTGAAAAGAAAAACCACCACCACCAACAACAACAACAAAACCAAACCCCCCAAAAAACAAAATAAAAACCAAACCCCAAAACAAACAAAACCCAAAACCCCCAAAAGTCAGTCACTGTGGGGTATTCCTTCAAAAAATTTTTCTAAATGATACAAACTATTCCTGTAAAATGTCTCCTTTTGCTACAACATAACCAGCTGAAAAATGTGACAGAGAAATGCAGGGCAGGAGCCAAGAGAGATGAGCAGGCATGCTGCAGAGCATCTGCTATGACTTCTGCTCCCCTTGGTTGCTCGTCTGTTGCTGCTATTCCTTGAAATCCCCCCAAGGGCTGCTGCTGGTCTTGCACAAACCAATACTTTTAGCGAGACTGGGATTGAATTCCAGGCAAAATCGGTAATGTCACATCCCCATCCCGACCGGTGGCAAGCGCGAGCCAGGTAACGGTGTCCAAACGGAGCCGTTCCTCTAGTTAAAATCACACTGGGTGGCTAATGAGGAGAGAGAGAGGAGTGGGACTGACTTTCTACTGGGCTGGAGATCTTACGTTGTTTTATGCCTTTTGAGGTGAAATCTGGATTCTCCAGGAATTAGTGCTGCCTCAGCACTACACCGATGGCTTCAAGCCACCCTGGGTGCACCGTGAAACTGCAACACCCCAAAACCCACAGCTGGAAGCCAAGGATGATGCTCCCAGGCCAGCTACACAAGCTGTAAAGGGCACATTATGCAGATAGCTGGGAACGGAAATGAGAGAGAAGCTGGATTTCTCTTACCACTAATTTTCCAGAGCTGCTGCTCTGCTGGCTGCTGGGCCAGCTCCTTGCCTGACAGCACTGCCCGTCTGCCCGGCACTCGCAGCCGAGCACCCTGCTGTCCCGGCCAGTCAGCAACTGTGGGCTGCTGTGCGCCAGCACACATGGTGTGAAGCACTCGGGGACCATGAACAGTGCTTTTACCTGTTTGGTACTGCTTTAAAGTTGTAAAAAGTGATGAGAATTAGTGGTCTTGTGTGACTCAGCCCATGCTCCAGAGCCCTGGAGCTGAAGTGGCTCCTGAAGAGGTGGAAAATACAAATGCACTGAAAAGCTCAAGTTTTATTCGATACAAACCCAATATCATTAGAGGAATTGTCCTCTACTCACTGCCAGCCGAGATTCTGGACCCGAAATCCTTGCTTGTAACTTTGTCAAGACACCGGAACTGCAACATCTGCCCTTAGGGCAGGTAATGTTCACCCAGCTGTAGTTCAGTGCTGAGGGAAATCGCTAACAACCTTTTTGTGATCCTACAGAGAGTGAAAGATCCTGTTTAAATGTGCGATGATACTTTTCTATGCTGTGTCCTATCAGATAAAACCAGGCAGGGACAGGAGTGCAGAGATGAGCAGCTGCAGGGTGTTTCACTCCCTCACGCTTCAGAATAGGGCACCTGTATCCTGCAAAACAAAACCCCAAGAGAGAGCTGTGCCCGCCCATGCCCCATCCTCCACAACCACATCCATTCCTACCAGAAGGTGAATCTGATGAGACAGAGCACACTGGTGGCTGCCACTGACTTTACAGCATAAATGCCAGCATGAATGCTTCTCCATCTACCAAGGGGCTGCCTGGCTTCTGCCGATCCTTGGAGCAAATATTCTGCGTTAATGATGCTGGGGTGGAAGGCTGCAGTGTGCGGAGCCAAAATTTAAAGGGAGACTCGGGAACTGGAAATTTAGAGTTCACACCATTGTTTTGCCTCCTCTGCCCCTGTCTAAGCAATACCTGATGCCTCTTCTGCCCGGTGCTTTCCTGTTTCTCCCCCCAAATAAACGCAGCAACAAAATGCCAGGACAAGGTATTTATGCAAGGGCAGGGGGGGGCAAGCAAAAAGTCTTGGTTTACTCTGTGCCTTTTTCCTGGACTTCAAAGAAATTATTTAGCTTTTCCTGTGCACCTGCTTATTCACCTGAAAAACTGAATTAATACCTACTTTTCTAAAGCATGAGATCCTTACATAGAGATTTATGACAAGCATTTATTTGGCACCTGTTAGCATTTTACAAGGCTTAGATGGAGGCGCTCAATATCTCAGTAAGAAGAACCGAACACCTCTTCTGCTGGGAGGTGCCGTGTAAGTGCAAAGGACTGTAACTGGTACAGGGGGGAAGTCATCACTGGACTCTGGGCTTCTACCCATCCTCTGGACAAAGCGGGTCGGCAGAGAGTCCCTGCGCACCGTTGCGTGCTTAAACTGGCTGTGGAGCTTGGGCTGCTCCAGTGATCTTGCAACCCATGCAGGACGGCAAGTTAATCCACACTGCACAGCAAGTTAACCCAAACGGTGCTGGGTGAAAGAGCTGCTGGCCGCAGTGGGGGGCTTAGCCCAGTAACCTCCTTCCATGGCAGGAAAAGCTGGTGAGCCAGTCAGCTGCGAGCAGCCCTTCCCCAGAGTAATGCATATCTCAGGGTACATGAATAGCAACCCTAAAGAAAGGAGAAGTCCGCTGGGTTTGACAGCTTCTCAACAGATTCATGCTGAGAAAAAAGCAAGTAACGTTTATCACTGAGTCAGGTGAATTAAACATTCACATATATTTGCTGAAAAAAATTATATACATCTGTAGCAAGACTCTGCCAAGTCTGAAAGATAAGCATCATCTAGTCACTAAATTAAAAAAATAAAAATCTGACTTTTAAATCTTTTTCTTTTTATCCATGTTCAAGAGCACAGACAGTTTATTTTGTTAGCACATTTGGTGAAGAATGTATGTTTGTGTGAGTGGCCATGAAAACTGGTGAAAATTTGGCATTTGTTTTGGATATGATGGAAAAGAAGAAGCCACTTATGCCTTACAGTCTAAATAATCCACAGAGTATATCAGGTTGCAAAAGGGTCACAAAGTAGCAGTCAAAGAGAAGCCTAAACACCCAGAGACGTAGCATACATGTCTGATAAAGAAGAACAAGGTATAGAGCATGCTGGCTAATTAAATAAATTTCACTTTCAACCCTGTTCCTTACGTGTGTAACCCTGGGAAAACCATCCCATAACAAGAAATGGACTCTGAAGAGACTTCTGTATCCACTCACAGTAAGGCTTTGAAGCTATATGAAGTTTTATAGCATTTGTATTTTAAGGATTTAGGGCAAGTACATGTTCTTCTACTGAATAAAAAGAAAGTTAGTACTTAAAAGGTTCAAAAATATATCAATTGTGATTTTTTTTTTACATAAATAAATTATATTGATTTTGGATTTAACAGCTGAAAAAACCCTTTCTGCTTCCACTGGAGGCAAAACTGAACAAAATGTTAGTTAAATAGAGATAGCAGCATTTCTAAGAAATCTGTCGATAGTGATACAGTATCTATGCTACAAGGATGTTATTAAATAGAACA